CTAAATGAATCATTGCATGGAATAAATAATACATTGGGTAGTATACTAAACACATTGCAGTGAAAATAACTAAACGGAACGTGGGAGGGAATATTTTCTTTCTATTCCTTCGGGTAGCAAGCGAGGTTCCAGAGCAGTCACCCATCCTACGGCCCCGTGGACTCGTACTTCCTTAACCTCGATAATCTGACAGACCCCAGTCAAGCAGAACGGTTTACAAAGGCAGGCTGCCGATATTTGGTTACCGATGTTATTTCTACAATTAGTTTAGAATATAACATTATAATTTAAAATCAATGAAATACTAAACACGCCATTTATATAGCATATGATTCTATATAAAGTGTTGAATTCTCACTTTTCACACTCTTCACGATCTATAACCTTTCGAATTGATCAGATGGCTGAGAACACGCGCTAGCTAAATAGTGTTTAGTAGTGTGACCACATGAAACATAGATCTCACCTAATGATTTTATCTACGAAACAGTCCCTCTGACAATTTTTTGTCCATTCACTTAAGATTTTTAATTGTCTGATTTACTAAACGGAACCACATCATGTTTAGTGAATCTTACTACAGGAATAATTGTATTCACTACATGATTGCTTACTAAACAAGTTTAGTACATTCTACAACATTTCTCTCAGTGACAGGAATGGACTTTATGCAGCACGTCGTCCTTGACATTAAGCCGCCACTGAAGAAATAAAACTGATCTTTCGCTTTCACGGGAAAAAACATTAGTGATGGGAGTTTATTGTGTAATATCTTTGCGAGGTGTGTGTTCTTTGCAAATGTGTCGAACAAGAAGGCAATAAAAGATTTCGATTCATAAAGATCTTGCAATTTCTGAAAATGTTAGAAAAGTTAAGTTGTCATTAATTGCCTGAAAAAATAATCTTTCGGAAATTGATTAGTTCGTTTTAGCACCTAAACTAGAAAGTACCTCATAAAAGGTGGAAACACTAAACTCTTTAGGGTGGGTGTTCTTTTAAACTAATTGTAGAAATATTTTGGAATAGGTTAGACATTAGGTTGTCAGACCATTGCAACAGTTTTTAATACCATTTGTAATAAAAAAATAAACAAATGTCCTTAAATCTCAGTATCTTTTGGTATTTCAAAAACATACTTCAAAGGTTGGGTCACTTTGCATATTGATATCCTTAATTAGATGTACATTACTCTCGAAGTCATTCAGTAAATCAATCAAAACAATTAAATTGCTCCAAGAATGCTGTAACCTACAGTAGTCAGACTCGCCCTCAGCAGGCCTTAATTTAGTCTAGGGGTGCTGTCAGGCCTCCCAGGAGCCATCCCCCTCTGGCAGCATTCTTTTGAGTGATGCACCAAGCTTGCCTAATGTGAATTGGTTGCATAAATATGCCGAATTCATTTTGTATGGACTTTATAATCAACTTACTGTTAGGAATAATTCATTAATACATCATCTTATGGTTCTGAAAACCTATTTGGATAAATCATGATATTTGTTGATATTGTTCTGACGTTTTTATAGGATCTGATCTGAGACAGTAGTGTGAGTAAGATGAAAATGTTTTTTGTTGTTTGAATATTAAATGTGGCAATTCTTTGGTGCCCTAACAATGCTAAAATATATTCCACAAATTCGAAAATTATCTCGAACCGAAAGTGTTCGGTACAGGATTAAAACAGTAAGGAACCTTTTGACATAATATGTTAAATGATCCCATACTGTTTTAATCCTGTCGGATTTTATATTTATAGGAAAGTATATATATTAAATTGACATTTATATAATACAGATATGAAGACCCTTTTGTGCAGGGGAGCCGTGAAGGAGAGGGAAGGACAGTTAAGCCAACTGGCCCCAGGCACTGACCATTGAATCAGAATATTTTTAAATTCAAAACAAATTAATGTATTTACTTCTAATTCAGATTAACTGCTGTTAGTTATTTCTGTTGTGTGAAGAAATTAATTCTGTTATGTTATGGTTTGAATTTTAAGTAAGGGTCCTTGTGAATCTACTGCCCCATGCATCTGTTTTTTGTGGGTGCCCCTGCTCTTGTGAGTATTATTCATATCTGTATTTCTACTGTATTCCTGACAATTATGTAATTGAACATGTTGTCTACAGTTTATTTGGTAAATTGCAAGGAATCCCAAAATTCTCCAAGAATTTGATAATTCATCAAAGGAATTTAATGAATTTAGAATGAGCAAGTGTTAGTTCCTGCATTTTATTTCTTGTTGAAATAATGTGTTGTGTTGTTTTTTTAACCTCAAGGATGAGTTTAGTGCTATAAGATATTTTGCCAATTATTTTGTGTCGTTTGGATGCTCCATCATCTTCATATATATTTTTTCTGTGTGAATTTTTAATGGAGCAGTGGTGGATTTATAAATAGTACTTTCATTGAATACTAATTGTTATTTTGTGATTTAATGTTGATATTATATTTGATAATTAAAAATCTGCATTCAAGAATCCACTATTTTGGTAAATAGCGGATGACCTTAGGAAGCTCCGAGTGATTGTCTAATGTCCAATGCAAAGAATGGATTGAATAGAGAGGAATAGTTTTGGTGTAAGTGAATGACGCGTTTGTTAATAACACAGCTTGTTTGTTCCTTAGACTACTAGCCAGATACTTGTGTTCAGGTTACTGTGTTTGTGTGAAGTACTTTGTTTGCCACAGTTATTAGTACTATTACAGTCTTCAAGGATTACATTTTCATATTTGTTATTTTATATTTATGTTTACGCTTATAACATCTTACTTTTACTTACAATTTATTTACTTTATACAATTACGATACTTTAGATTTTAACCTTCTTTAAAATGCTTTCCTTTCTCGTTGTGTGGTGGGTGTCATAGGTTTTCATGTTTCTACAGCTATCAACAATTTCTCTTGATCCCTGCTGAGGACTTCTTTCACTTATTTCATATCACAATAAAATAACAAACATAAGCAAGAAATAAACATATATTCTTGAGAGAGAAGAGAGGAAACAATGATGGTTTACTTACCTGAACGTTCGAGATGGTAATTACTATTGTGAAAAGGACAGTGTAATGGCATTATATACCACAGACTCTGCTTACAAGATACCGACTTCACACATCTCTCTAAAACCTTCTTTTATGAGCATTGTTACAATGCCCTTTATGAGCTAGCATTCATGTAGTTGCTAATGTGGTGTAATCATCACCGTTGTCCAGGAAAGAAGATTGGTGAATGTTCAGTTACCAAATTTTGTCAGTCTGGTTTTAAGTTTACTTCATCAGATGTTTTCTTGCCATTCTGAAGCAAATGAGACACAACGTTCTATGCTTATTTACCTACTGGTCTGTCTTCGAACCATTTTGATTGTTTGTTTTGAATTGTGTGCCTGCTCAAATATGAATAGATTAGTATCGTGAGTATTATAGATTAGTATCGTATCATATGTTGACAGCACTAAATGGCAAATGCCAGAATTTTTCTGAAGAATGCCTCAGGGGGATAATGCTGCATGAAAATGGCATCAACAACATAATTGTAATGCATAATAAAATGTTTCTAGTTTTTTAATTTGAGTTGAAATTTTTGTATTAAAATTCATTTTTATTGACTTCTCTCAAATCAATTGGTCACGTAAACTATAATGCATGCATTCTTTTGAACATTCAGAGATGATTTAATTCCATTTCTTCACTTGGTTCTTCTAAAAAAAATTAAGTCTGATTCATATTTTGTATTTCTCTTGTCTGCTTAAGATATCGGTTAGACTGCAGAAAGTAAAGCACTTTGGAGAATAACTTGCGCCATGCATCTTCTAGTAAGAAAATTAGCTAAATTAGCATTCCTTTATGGTCCTCTTGCTTAGTTGAAATTAAATCACTGATATTTTTTAATTCCTTAAAAATATGATAAGAATCTGTTGATGTTTTCTTAAAAAAATTATTCCAGAATAATTTTTTAATCATATTAATAATAATGATGATGATAATAATAATAATAATAATAATAATAATAATAATAATAATAATAATAATGATAATAATGATAATGATAGTAGTAGTAGTAGTAGTAGTAGTAGTAGTAATTTGCACAAGCTTTTCCTTTCCAAATTTTTACACATTTATGCTAAAGAAAGCTAACGCATGAATATTACACATTCTCATGCTCAGTCACTACTTTTTTAAATTCCTTTATACCCAGGTATTAACTTGAGGGGAAACAGTGTTTATTTCAGTAATATTATAAAGTTTCTTTTCAAAAAAATCATAGGTTGTTTATTAATAGAAAGTATGATCATGCTCTTGCCAAACTGTTAATAATTCAGATTTTTAAGGAAAAACTATGTAGGAGGAGGAAGAAAGTAAACCTTTTCAGCAAGATCATATTTGCGTGTGGTGTTTGCATGCAGGAATTCAAATGTAGGGGTAAGGTTATCAATACAAAGGTATATTAAGTTTATATAGTTTGAGTCTTGGTGTAGAGCGTGAAGTATTGTGAAGGACACTCTCAAGAGTGGGAAGTAATTTTATTTTTAAAGTAGTCTTTGATTTTTTTACTTTTATGGCCATCATGGATTTGTAAGAGTGGCAGGGAAAATTATTAATAGTAATGTGCTGATAAAAATCCTTGCATCTATATTACTTTTTCAAATCTATATTTTTTCGTAATTTTATGAAATATTCTTTAATGCATAATAGTTTTTATTGTGATAGGGAGTAATTGCTGAACTTTCATTTTGGAATGTTGCTACATTTTTCTTAATCTGGGTTTGAGGTTTCTTACTTCTTGATTAGCTGCTATCATTAGCGAAGTGAGGGTAGTATGCGATACATCAAAATCTAGTACAAGATGGGACATTCTTGTCTGAATTTCAAAATGGTGTCAGAATTTTCCACTGACCTTCAGTTTATTCTCCCCCTTTCTTAGCCCCCATCCTTTTCTCAGTTAATTAGAAATCAAATTTAAGTGGCATACTGGGAGTTTCTAAAAGGATTTCTTTCTTCAGGTGGAATCCTTCCTGGAATCAGGGCTTTGTGGCCGTCGTAAGCCTGTGTTCCTGCCGCGGAACGTCAGATTGTGGAGGAGAAGGTCTGGCAGTCTCTTCCACAGCGGAGGTTGGGCAAGGTCTTCCGAATCGCTCAGCACAGATCCTGATGTTAAGCCAGAGAAGACTGATGACTCTGGGAACACTGCAACTGGAGTGAAGCGAAAAGACAAAGCAGACAAATCAAGGTGGAGTACTATTGAACTGTTTGACAATGTTTCGGGATCAATGGTCCTTATGTTATGGTATTGGTTGTAGAATGTCGTTTTTCATTACTTCCTGTGACTCTCCCATTGTCTTCTTTTGAAGTGAAGCATGTTGGTTGCCACTCCTGTTGTAGAGGTCTCCATTACATTCCAGATATGTAGTTCTGCCTGTTCAGTAGTCAGCTTTTGATGGAAGTGGAAACATTTAACTTGTGGACACACTTTTATTTTTATTTTATTTAGATTTGTTTTATGTTATTTACATTTTTTATTTTTGTGAAATGTTATTTCAGATTTTTCTCTGCCATTGTGTACCGATATAAACTTAACTTTTAGTGTATATTAGCAAAAGAGAACAAACTACTTGGTAACTATGTTGTTAAAGAAGAAAGCATTCAGAATTTATAACAAGTTGTAGATACAAAAAAATTGAAACTAAGCTTTGACAAAGAAGTTACTTTAGGGAATATTATTTGGAAATTGTACTGACATGTATTTAGTTATTTTTAGTTTAAGATTGATGCGTCAACGGTGATTGTGCTTTTCAAGGGCTTGTTTTATTGAGTAGTTGCTATAATGCCTTCTAAGCTGAACAAGAGTATTTACATATATTTGATTTGCTTAGTTGGAAATGGGAACCAAAAGTAGTGTTTGGGACAAAATTCTTGTTATAACGCATAGTTCATCATTTTATGACCATTTTATTGTATTTAGGATTTTACTCCTTTGTTTAAATATAGTAAGTTTCTATTTGTCAACCTTTAGTCCAAATAGATACCAGTTAGTTTCATTAAGAATTGAAATAATATTGATTAGTTAATCCCTTGATAGAAGGAAAGCTAGTGGGTTCTCGGCACTACAGATTGATAGTAAAATTCTTTTTGTTCTTTTTTATTGTTTACCCTGCAGGAATGGGCATTGAAAACTTGAAGGAAGTTGGCAATACGCTAGTGTTTCGAACCAAATGAGCAAGTGTGGTCTTTGAAGATTCACTAGTTCTTGGTAGTTATGATGCATTGCATCTAATTCCTCACATGAAAGCATGCTGTCTTTGTAGGTTTTAACCCTTTCGTCTAGGAGGCACATTGTAAAAAAACTTTCAAAAAGAAAATGAAAACAAGTGTCTTTATTGATTTGTCTGACGAAAGATTGCTGAAAAATGTTAAGAAATTATTCTATGTACCTGTGCACATGTAAAATGTCTAAAACAATTTTTTTTGAGTTGTTTAAAACGACAACAACAATAACAACGACCTCTTAAAGAATACAATGTGAGTTTCCTCACACAGAGCTAGCTTCGGATTTTTAAGGCACTAATTAGTTTTGATTATTATAATATTTTGATATTATAATACGGTTAATAATAAAGGGTAAAGTATTTTATTGATATTTTGTTATGCATGTAATTTGTTAGACCTTAATCTTGTAGATTTGGTTTGCTAATTCATTTTAGTAGAAGCTGAAAATGACATTCTGGATTTCTTGTTTGTTTGACCAACCCTTTTAATTCAGTAGACACTGGATGAGTGGCAAGCATCACACATTCATAATTTTTCCACAATTGCTTCCACATTGTCACTATTACTAACAATGTATTGTATTTGCATGTTACAAATGTAATTAAAGAATGTTAGAACATTTATCAACAAGGCTTAAATTTTGAAAACAATTGTGTTGTAGACATGGTTAAGACACATTCTAATTGTTGCTGTTCTATTATTTAGATATATATAATGCAGTAATTTTTTGCAGAGCTTTTAATTTGTAGGTCATTTTTAAATTGGTAGTTCGAGTTTTTTTAGGGGCGGGTTGTGATTATGATTATTTAAGCTAGTCTTTTTTGTGCATTTAGCTTGTTAGGTTTTCAAATTGTGCATTGTATAATGTAATGACAATGGCATTAGTTTGTTGTGTTTTTTTAACTGCATGTATTGCGGGTGTAACAAATTGTGAGAATATTGGTTTCAAGAGCGTTAGTTCATGGATTTATCTTGTATTTCGGTTCTAAATCGTGATGGTCTTCAAAAGAGGTTTCCTCTTGTCTGTGAAGCAAATTGTAGACCTTATTCACTTCAAAGTAATCGCTTTGGTAGTTGAACTACATAGCCAGATTTTTATCAAGTTACAATGCTTAAGGAAGTTCAAAACTACAATGTTCTTGGAGGGGCGACGACGATCTGGAAACTCTGGGTGCTAACACAAGTGAGCACCTAACTGAAGGGATAAGAAGTAAAGTAATAAACTAAACAAATGACATTAAAATATGAAACAACCAAACTGAATTGCTAACTAATACTAGCTGGTCTGTCTGGAAAAACACAAATGCAAGTGCATCCGCGAGAATGTTTTAAAATAATAATAATTATTATTATTATTATTATTATTATTATTATTATTATTATTATTATTATTATTTAGGCATTTTGTTAAATATTCTATTTAATTAATTCATTTCACAAAATGGTTGTCTTATAACATTGATATGTAATTTATTACAAGATTTTGTAGATTATTTGAGTGAATGAAGTGTATATTATTAATTAGTGAGAAGTATGAAGTCCGAGCTCCCTTCGTTAATTTGATGCAAATTAAACACTGAGCAAGTGAATATTAAGTGTGTAATGTCCAGCCCATCAGAGACTCTTCTTGTTAATTTCAGAATCTGAAATATACCTAATTAATGTGTCAGTGTCAATATTTGTGTACTCTTTTTGATGAAGGTTATAAAATAAATTTTTTAACCTTTATTTTGACTACCTTACTTCCAAAACGTCTTTTAAGAACAGATTTTGAGTCCTTCACAACCCTTTCACAGAATAGAGAAATGCAATAGAAAAATGCTACACTGTTTCAATTTTTTTTTTTTTTTAATGATAAGATTGTATTATACTTTTTAATACTTTTAGGATAATGAGATTTGTATTTAAAGACCAATGCCTTCTGTTGGAAAGCAGTAATTCATTCATTCACATTTGGGCTTTAATACAGCCATGACTTTCTCCCACTACCTAGGAAATATGGTTTTATATGGATTTATAAAGGGCTTTATTTACTTATATGATAAGTGAGACAGAAAAATTCAATAAAGAATGATAAAATTAACTTTCCTTTTTATATTTGTATTAATAGAGAAGTCCGTGTGACAACAAATTTGAACAATAAAAATTGTCAGGGATTTTATTATTTCCAGAGAAAATTTTTCATTTGCATTGAATCCCTTTTGCCTCTCAATCCTGAGGTGATTTGTAATGGATTCCTTTTCTTAGTCCTGCAGCCGTTTGAACCAAATTCTGTTTTTTGTTCTGTGCGTGTTTGATCAGAATTCCATTTTCTTTTGTCCTGTAACTGCTTGAACTAGATCCCTTTTTCTTTTGCCCTGCAGCTGTTTGAACCAGATCCCTTTTTCTTTTGCCCTATCGCTGTCTGAATAGCATTCCTTTTTCTTTTGCCGAGCAGCTTTTTGAACTGGATCACTTTTTCTTTTGCCCTGCAGCTGTTTGAACCGGATCACTTTTTCTTTTACCCTGCAGCTGTTTGAACCGGATCACTTTTTCTTTTACCCTGTAGCTTTTTGAACCAGATCCCTTTCTCTTTTGCCCTGTCGCTGTCTGTATAGCATTCCTTTTTCTTTTGCCCTGCAGCCATTTGTATTGGATCCATTTTTCTTTTGCCCCACAGCCATATAAAACAAGTGCCTTTTTTGGTAGGGGGAGGCTTTGGGAATTATTAGGAGTCAGAAAATGGAGCTACAATATATTTATTTTCATATGTTGTGTATATCACTAATATCAATATCATCATCATCATCATCATCATCATCATCATCCAAACAGCTCTGAGGTAGACACATGACAGCCAAGTCAGTGCTAGTACATGGTTCTGAAACCTGGCTCCTGAGCTTGAGGGATCACAAAGACATGAAGTGGCCCAAATGAAGTTTCGGGGACATCTTGGTTATGCTAGATTGAGTTGACAGAGAAACAAAGACGGAAGATAATTAAAGGAATTTAAATATAAAGGAAATAGTTGGAACACATTTAAAAATTGAAAGAATGATGTGCTCTATAATACTAACTACTAGTGCCAGGAGAGAGAGAGGGAGGCCAAGAAAGTAATGGATTATTAGGGAGCACTTCAGAGAATGCCCTTTTTAGACCTGCATAACCAGACCTTTGCTATGGTATATGATGAGAATTTCTTTTAATAAGAAAGGTGTTAATAAAACTCACTTATGTAAAAAGAGATATAGATAGAATAAATTAAAAGTGGTATGGTGATTTTGGATTGGAGGTCCTCATTTGTAATTTTTAAATAGTAATTTTAGTTACAGTATGCATTTTCAAATTGTGTGATTTTAATCGTTATGTTGTAATTGCGTAACTTGCGTCCGTCTGTCAGTTCCTCATGGTTAAACCCTTTCCAGTTCACCAATTGAGACCTTTGCCTTCTTGTAGGGAATGAATCTTTTGCAGATCCACCTATAATGTTCTGATAAATGTTATTTAAAGTTGTGCTTTGTTTTATAAGCTACTGAAAAGTGTTTTGGGTGACAAGAGGTAATCAGTTTCTCATTATATTCCTCTCGACAAGACAATTCAAATGGCACAATTCTTTGCAAGGTTCCTTCAGGATATTTTGGAAGAATTGTAGAAATAAAAATGTTTTTGGTGGTTTCATTGTGTTTAGCACTTATCCATGAAGCATTGTGAATTTTACTCTATTTGGCATTTATATGAATCGGTAAGACTTTATCGTTTATCCCAGAACTACTATCCCCCGAAGGTACACTGGCTTCTGGAGGCCTGAAATTGAGGGGGTGTGGGTTCCATATGCCACGAGAGAAAGGAGAAGGTAGTTTTTTCACCTACAGATGTTTGTTTTTATATTTCAGATTTTGTGCATATGGAAAATGTGTAAATGGAATTAAGTCTTTGTACAAGTTCTCTGAAGGAATGAATGTTATTGACAGTTTGGACACTTGCACTTGCTTGTTTTATTTTCTTTACTCCATGAGACGAGGTTTGCATAGTTTCCCTTTCAAGACTGATTTCTGAATGAAACATATTTTGAGATATTCTACATACTATTTAGATTGTCATAATTTTACGTTATCACACCATTATGAATTTGCTCAGAAAGTAAACAAGGATCTGGCTTGTAGTGAAAGAAGAAATGTGCTGTGAAGGGAGTAGTAATGAGTTTCATGAATACAATAAAAACGTGTGGATAGCTTGTTACAATGATTGAACTCATCGAGACTGAATGATCTAAATACATTGAAATGTCTTACACTTGATGTACATATGTCATGAATGATTTTCTACATGATTAAAAAAATGTGTGATGCTCGATGTGCATTGGTTGATTACCATTCTGGCAGTGTCCATTAGTAGGTACCATTACTAATAATTTCTGGCCCGAAGGAAACAAACAAATTTTTAAAGTACAAATATCCCAGCCTTGAGGGGGAGGGTGAATAATCTCTAGAAAAGGATCACATTTTGGACTGCAGGCAGATAAATTGCACATTTGCCAACATGAAAGGGCTAGGGTAAATGAAATGTTACAATGATGAAGAATAGCAGATTTTGTGCGATAAAAGTGAATGAGACTGCATTTGGGAAGTCCCTAAGGTTAGTGAGAGACTAGATATGTAGTTTTTGAGTTTCATTGTTTGTTATTTCTATTTAAATGATTCCACCTAAACTAACTGTATACCACATTTCACTTGGGCTAATGAGGCTCCAGCATTTGGCTTTCACAATTTATTTGGAACAACCTTGAGTCTGTAACATGCAATTCCCATCACATTTCTACACCAAAAAAATATTGTAAACTCACAAGATGCCTCTCACTCTTGCACAATTAACATACTTGAGCCAGTATCCTGTGGCTAATGCCTACATTAGCTGGATGACATCCAAAATTATCTGTTCATTGTCAGTCACACAGCTTTATCCAAACAGTTTGTCTGATTCATGAATTAGCCAGATTTTGGACTTCAGCTGTATGTATATAAAATTGGATGGTTTCAGATTTCAAAATAACTGCATTTTTATTCTCAAGTGGCTTGTAAATTATTGTAGCTTTTTATTCCTAAAGGAAAAATATTTCTGTTTTGCGAAGCTAATATTGCTATTATCCTTATGGATTTTTTATAATAAAAAAAACTACTTAATATTTACTTCTTGGCAAAACGGCATACTTGCAGCTCCTGCAATGATTGTTCATTGTTGAATGGTTGAATTAATAGTATGGAATTATGAAACTGTGGTGGATACTTTTTGGCAAGATGGTTAATGTAAAATTAGTTTCAAAAAAGAAGCTTCCCATGAATTAGTGCAGGAGATGATTTCATTATACATGTAACATGCTCATTGTACTTTTGGTTGCAGTTCTGAAGATGACAAGATTCCAGAAGTGGAACGAGGCAAAGGTAGCTCGAAAGCAAGAGTCAATAACACAAATAATAGCTCTTCTAGTGGTGGTGGTGGTGCTGCTAGCCTCAATGACATTGTGACTTCTGACAGCACTCAGTGTCGGTTCAACATAAACCAGTATCGTATGGTATTTGTCGTCAATAAGGAGAACTACTTGTATAAACGACAGGCTTTGCAACGAGCCCACCAGGTAAAATTGCTGTATAATACTTAGTCATAGTTATAATTTTTTCTTTACTTCTCTTTGGACTTAAACCTGTCTTTAGTAGGGCTCTTTTTTTTTTTTCCCCAGGGCCAAGTAGACTGCCAATAATTTTCAGAATAATGAATCTTATTAGTTAGAAATGTTATTCATTTCTATGGTTTTTTATACTTCAGATAAATATAGCCTTAAGCCAATATTTGTTGTTTCATTATAAAAAAGAGACATAGCATTTGGTGTATGTTTGGTTGTTCCTGTTAAAAATGAACACTTTTCAAATAATCCCTTATAAAAAGTGTTGGTGAAGCATATAAACAGTCAAGAACTATTCTGCTATATAAGTTTGATAAGTAAGATAGGTCAGTGAAATATGCACTCATGATAGCCGACTAGATAATTTGTTTCTGGTGGGTGAGCAGTAGTGCAAGATTATAGCATAACAATAAATCCTTATCTACACATTGGTATGATAAGATATTTGTAATGTGCAACATGATTCTTTTTCCATCCTTGAATATAGATTTGTTATAGTATGTATGTGCAAGGATCTAAGAATTATTGTGATATTTAATGAGAACTCATTTTCAATAATGAATTATTATTTTTGTTGCATTAGTTTAAAGCTAAGATTGTAAATGATTACTATTTATCATGTATGTAAAATTGTATGTTTATTTATTTATTTATTTTTGTTTACAGTCTCATCCTGCTGTCTCTCGAAACTTGTCTGCCCGCTTCTCCCGCTGGCATGTTTCATGGGCTCGTGAACATGTGTCAGATACGCAGCATCGCACATGTGTGGACTGGTTGATGGGTCGTGGTGAAGGAGTAGTTCCCAACCGCACTCGTGTACTTTCGGACAATGATACGGCACGACCTCCTTACAGAGCTTACAATCGGTATAGTGTTGATCGGTTAGGTCAACCACAACAAAATCAGTCAAGTGTTTCTGGAACTTCAAGTAGTGGCAATAATGATCCCTGAGTGAAGCCACGTGGTGGGGCTGTTAAACCCATTAGGAACTGACACAACTTTTCAAATCCTGGACGGATGTCCAGGAGGAAATGAGGCCTGTGTAATATGGGCCTAGCACTTCTCTGATATGGAAAACCATAAAAGGGATGAGGGCTTCAATTCACATTTGTGGTGCTCTAGCAGTTTAATTTTGAAGTTGGTGTACACTGCTAGGGTGTAGGCATTGCAAATGTCTTCCTTGTTGCCAGTATCTTCTGCATTGATCTTGAAGTGAAAGTAAGATTCTCATCAATTTTGCAGGATCAGAGAGAGGAGTCTTAGATGCTATGCAGAATAATGAAGAGCATGACAAGAACACAACTGGTAAGACCTAATAAGCATGAATGAAACTGAAGAAGTAACATGAGGTGATTACATCTTCATACCTACTTGATTTTCATGCAGGTGGATTACCAGAATATCTGGGCTGAGAGTTGTCTTAGTACTCAACAAAAAATTTGGGCCTGTCAGAGATCTACTTCACAGTGGAATGTGAGTAGAATGCAGGTCTCAAATATTACCTCACAGGCTTACCGTTTGTGGACAAGAAGAAACACTGGTGCAAATGCACAGGTTGTAAGTCTCCAAAACGAGCCTGAAGAGAGGGAGAGAGCTGGGATGGAAATGGTTCCTCCCAGGTTATAGCAAGATTTTCCAGCAGCAACAGGCCTTATGAACTTCTTACTCGTAAGAATAATTTTCTTGCAAAAGGCATCGTGCCTGGCAAAATTTTGAGATTGTATGCCCTCTGGTTTATCAGCTCTTGTGACCATAAGTAAAATATTGGGGAGTTGTGTATATCTTATTACATGCACTAAAATGAAAAAGACAGTCTCACGTAAAAGGTGGTTGAAAGAATGATCTTCCAAGTCAAAACAAGTAAGAAGTTTGATGCTTGTTAGTATTGTAAGACATCATCAAAATATTTGACTTCAAAATTTGTAACCATAATACCACAAGTTGGTTTCACCAATCGTGAAGTACTTTTGATATCAGGCATTATATTGGATACTACAACAAGCACTGTGTCTAAATCTTATTCTGGGAACCTAATGCAGATACATTGGGGGCTGCACTTTGTGTTAGTTTTGGTTTAGGTGAACTTTATCTAAATGCCAAAACAAACTTTTCTTCCAGTCTGACTTCTACTCAAATATTTGTCATATTTGAATGGCCCAACAATAAGGAATTTGGTACATGTTTCTTTTGTACAGAATTCTAGTGCTGATGAAATTTTATTTTCAAAGATGAGGCCATAATTTTAAAAGAAGTAGACAAAGTGAATTGGGTGTGCATGCAAGCCTTCCAAAGAAAGCTGCATTAAATTCCAATGCTTTTTTTGCATTTTCTATTTCGTACCATCTACATTTTTCTGTAATATTTTTTCTTTGATGTACATGTCAGTTTTTTGTACCATCCTGTGGCTGGTTGTTTTCTTCTCTTTTTATCTTGGTATTTTTTAAATTAAATTTTGTTATTTCATATCTTTAGATTATTCTTTTGTCCCAAATCAATTTATTTATTTCTTCAGAAATATTTTAAGTGAAGGGGGAGTGTTCCTGAAATATTGATCAGTTAATCTGTTGTGCTTGTCCAATGAACTTGGGCTTGAATTACTATGAGCATTTACAAAATGGAAAACTTTCCGAATAAGAGGACGGGAATCTTAAAAGCAAGACTTCTTTGTGCACATTCTAGCTCGTAAATGAGCTTTGAGCCTGGAACTTGCCAAAAACACTGGATAACCAATGACAATAAGAGAAATGTTAATTTTGGGATTGGTTTTCCTGCTAATTTGTCTTGTCAGACTTGTTTGTTATGGCAAAAATGCTGTAGCAAATGATTACCTACTTTTGAGCACTGGCAATTACCCATGCCTCAGAATCGTGTCACCATTACTGCTGCCGTCACCACAACTGCCTCAGCTGTTGCCGTTGCCACCACCATCACAACCACCACCACCACCACCACCACCACCACCACCACCACCACCACCACTACCACTACCACCTTGTATTACAACAATGTTTGTTCTGAAGTGGAGTGCTACTGGTTATAATTTTTTCTAGCTGTCAGGCTTTTGTAGCCTTTAAATAATCATTGCATTCAGAAGAACTATTTTAATGTGTAAATATTTTGTAAATAAATGTAGAGAAGGCATTTTTTTGGAAATCCGCATTACTTTTTTAAAAGTGATGTGGTGTGAAGAGACAGCACTTATAGGATGGGGAGCACTGGTTGGATGATCAGTAATGATGAGGTGGGACCAAATTGTGAAGAGTGTTGCTAAAGAGCATATGCATTACAAAGTGCAATTATTATTCTGTGACATTTGTTCATCTCTTGAGTTTGTTCTTTGTACAAATGTTTTCATTGTGTAAAATGTAAATACTTTTTTAATGTAATGTATTACACCATTTGTCTAAAAAAGTGTTGGATTGGACTTATCTCCCCTCCCAAAAGTGCTTCTTTTCACACCCTCTCCCAAGATTTAGTAATATTCTGCTTAAACTGCCTTTAGTTGTTATAGATTGTGCAATTTTTTAATTATGTAGGCAGTATTAAGCAACAGGGTTGATATTTGAAAACAAATTCTGACCCTCGCAGCTACAAACAAGGTAGAAGGGAAAAGGAATGTGTTATGAGAACATTTCCATCCTCAAATGTTCGCTGTACAAATTTATTTATTTATTTGTGGTAAAGTTGCCAGTCTAAGACTATCTTTCTCCTCATCCCCATCCTATCCTGTCCCATCCCACCCCACCCCACCCCACCCCAAAAGGTCAGGCTTGAAGGTTTGTGCTGTGCTGCACAATTTGTGGGACTGTGTATGTAAATGTTAAAAAGTAAGGTTACTCTGCACAGTTCTGTAAACCTTTCCACCTGTCCAGGGTTGCCATCTGTGATTTTTTTATTTGCACATTTTTGTTACTTTGTTATTTTTGTTGTACTCTTAATTACTTGCCCCATCATACCTCTGTGAGGGAGCATTCCTTGATGAGACCATTCAACACTGTTAAGTTGACTATATATTTGTGCAGATAACTTTTTTATTATTTTATTGACAAAGGAATCTGTAAATATAATATATTTATGTATATATGACAGCCCTGGTCAGATTGCTGCAAAAGCAGTACAGTTCACAGATAGTAAATACATAGAAGCTTTTGACACATGATGGTTGGCTGGGTTTATTACCATTTTTCCGGAACAAAAATATTAAATCATCATGTCAGTAATTGTATTAAATATTTTCTGTACATCTGATCAAAATGTGACATGGTTATGCAATGACTGATCAGTAAGAATTGTTAAATGCTTTGAGTGAATGTGTGATAGAAAGTGTCAGACTCGTTTGTTTGATCTTAGATCGTTGATATCAATTGCAATGTTTAGTTACATTGTGACATATTTTTGAAGGGAATTATTTGAAGTTTGTTAATGATAAATGATCAGTAGATCTTTTAATATTGATAGTTTCAATATTTTCTTCCTGTTTTAAATATTGCATTTTACAACTACACCAAAAAATAAAACAATTAAAAATCAATTGCATCGTCTTTTGCACAGGCTGATGTCTCACTGTTTTACTTTAAAATGTCTGTTAGGTAGCCTCGATTCTAAGAGAAAAAACTGAAGTGTTATCCTATGTATTGCCCAAACTTGCCATAATTGAAAGCTGTGGTAATGTTGGATAACAAATGATGAAATGCATATTCTGAAAATGATTTAAATTTTATGTTCTTTATTTTGCTTGGGTTTTGTGACAAGAACTTTCATTTTAGTCTTAAGATTTTGTCAGGGAGTTATTTCTTTCATTGACTTAATTCAAAGTTTTAAATTCGTGCCACAAACATAAAAATTTTTGGTTTTACCTACATTAATGAAGTATTTTTAAGTTACAATCACTGTATCGAGGGCTACAATTGTAATGCAATACACGAAAACTTTTTATTATGAAATTGAAGTATGTCATCTAAATAAACACAAAATTATTATTATTAATTAAAAAGGCCACACTGGTTGACGCATGTTTGCAAAATTTCCAGGTTACTAGGTGTTAGGACAACAGCGAAGGCTAGAAAACATATTTATATGACAGCCAATAGCTTTTGTTCTTTTTAATGCAGTTGTTTTTTCTTGCTTATTGTATGTCTTTTAAACATCTGTATTTAATTTCATTGTGCAAGTTGTAGTTCCAAAAATTAGGAAATATGAAATAGAGGGCAATAGTCTACATCAATATTTCAGAAATATGAGATCTTATTATTAACATTTCCTTAAAATTCGAATTATTTTTTCATGTTCTTGTAAACAATTTCTGGAAGATCCACAACCTATTGACCATGGTAAGGCTTCATTTTGCTAGTTCTAAAGTAACTGTTCATAAACTAGTTTGTGAAAAATTTTTGTCAGTATAAAAGGAAGAGGGGCTGCTCTTTCCTGGTTGTTATAACTTCTTTTGAGGAAATACATATATTGTAACAGCTCTTTGGGAATATATTTCCCTTCTATTCATCTGCACCTTTCTCTGTAGTGGAATTAATTTATTGTGCTAAAGAAAATTGGAGAACCCTTTAAATTAGCTGTGGTAATTATTTCTAGAATTCCAACACGTTGCATGGCATTATCATAAAGCTCATTTGAAATTAATATGAAAAAGAACTTTTGTGACTCAAATTTTTGTCTCACATCATTCTCTTGTATCATTTCCTTTGAAAGAGTTCTCTAATTGCAAATTAAAGACTAAAATTTTTGGATAGAAGTTCTGACTTGATTTCTTGAATGGACTTGTTAAGAAAACTGTCCTATTAATATTATTGAAAAGGTTGTGTCAAATTTTCTTTAATAATTTATTAGGTTATTAGCAATTATTAAGAACATTTTCTTTTAAGTTGTGTAATTAAAATAAGTATCCATAGGAATATTTAATATTTTTTTCCTGCAACTGAAGGATTTGTAATTTGTTAGAATTCTTTTATTGAATTTAATGAAAATGCTTTGCATTAAAAATAACATCTTAAAATTATTTGCAAGTTTTGGGGAAATATTTAACTAGATGTATAACAAGAATAGGCAAGCGACAACACACCGTTTGGTCTTGCAGCATATACATGTTAAGGACACTTCCTCCTTTGGTCTCCCCAGTCACTTTAAAAGTAGATCAGTCAATTAAGCTGAACACCCAAGTTTTGTGGATTGATTGGAGGGGTCTAGACCTTCAAATTTGCTTTGAATTTTGCCAAATTTTTGGGTGATAGTTGGGTAGAATGTGGTAAATTGTTTTATTACAGAGAGATGAAGTAAATTTTTGGACTTCTGGCTCAATTTTTATAATGCTGTAATCAGAACTTCTCTATTTTCCACAATTCTTTTATTTTAACTATCTAGATGTGAGTGTTGGCTTTACAGAATTTGTTTCCAAAAAGTATTTTCAAAATTTAATATATACGACTCGAAAATGTCTGCCTCATAATTTTCTTTCTTTTTAATGTATTGTTTTCTGAAAGGTTCTTTTAGTAAAATGCTGGTCAGCAGATGTTTTTTGTCTGGAAATCAATGGATTGCATTTAGAATATGCAGATTATTATCTAATTTAATGAAGCCCTGTGTGGAGCTTGTGTCAATTGAGTTGATTACCCAGCCAGCCAGTCGTAAGGGCACGTCCTCTTTTATATGTATATATATATATATATATATTTTAGAAGAAAAAAAAATATAAAAATCAAATGATGACATGTTCTTGGGTACCATGGCAATTGGTGGACTTATCTCAGGTGCTATGTTTCTTAAGCAGAGAACTTGCGTGTTGTGACATTTTAAAAGTATTTTTGTAAATAAATACCTAAATAATACAAGAAAATATGAAGACACATAAAAATAAATCAAATTTTATACTATTGCCATGGTACAAGTGATGTTTTATAAATGAATGAATTTTTTTGTTTTGTTTTTGTTTGAAGTGTGTCATGAGCAAGTGATATATCATATTTTTACATATGGAATGTGTATTTCAACATACACAGAATGTGCCATCATATCTCAGAAAGAAAGTTTAAGACAAGTTGCTGTGTTAGATTTTCTTCCTTATAATCTCACTGATGTGAAATATCTCATAATTTGAATAGTACAAAACGAACCGTAGAGTATATCTACTCGGAGGTAATTTTTCATCCGATCAGTTGGGTCGTGTGTACATATATAAACTGTTTGCTTGCACAGTTATTTTCTGAAGTAATGATGCAAATAAAATTTATTAATATAGTCTTGACATTTTTTTTGTTTGTTTGTACATATGCATACATAGGATCTTCAGTCTGATACAGGATAAGCAACAACCATTTCCTAGCAGCTGTGTAATCATAAGTTGACAAAGATGATTTTTTTATTGTAAGATACGTACAAAATTAAGGTGAGAAATTCATGAAGTGAAACAGCTTTGTCAAGCTCTGTTAATAGAATAAATAAGAAAAGATTACTTTTCACAAAAAATTTTTGGGAAAATCTTTTAAAAAAAGGTTTATTTAAACTTGAAGTGTTTTGTAAAGAAAAAGCATTGTATATTTGTCGCATTTGAGTATAATAAAATGACATTCTATGTATAGTTAATGAAAATTTTGTGTTTGTTCTGCCCCAATATTTGCATTTTTATCATGCGACTTGAGTAAAATGATATTCTCATTATAATTTGGAATGCAGAACTAAGATATTTTCCTTTTTGAAATCTCAGGATTGGACTAACGATCAAAGTGAGGAAAATGTTTTGAGAATTACTTCTAGGAGAAAACTTGAACTTCCATATGAGTTACTAATTTAATTAAATTTCATCCATAACATGTTGCTATTTCCTGGCAGGCGTGTGGCCTTGATATTCCTTTTGGGAGAAATTCACTTTTTGGCGTGTTTGGGGGAGGGGTGTAGAAAATTACTATATTCATGTACTATCGTACTCGTGGTTGAAATAAGTACGCGTGGGCGTATTTCACGTGTGAACAGTTATGCACACCGCGAAAAGCTAATCTAAGAACTCTCTAGGTGATAGCCAGATGAAACTTCCAAATCTCCGTTGATAGTCCAGATATGCTGTTAAGAATGTTAATGCATTCCCAACGACCCCCACTCCGTGGGGTAGGTGATCAAAGGCTCGATTGAGGGTCTATAGCCGAATCTAAATCTGCGATGGATAAGATACGCAAAATCCCATCGATTACAAAAATATTAACTTTATTATTGTTTTCTGATATAGTACAACAAAACAGTAACAAATTTGTCTCTTTCGTAACCATCGTTATTCTTAAAATCAGGGCGTAACTAAGCTGGTTCCCCGAATTGCAGGGCCTTAATATCCCGGCCCCACGGACAGATGTCGGCAAAGAATAAATCGAACTGCATTCCATTCTTGTTTCCTCCATTGTACCAGCCATATTATACCAATTACGTTTACAACTCATATTTTAGCATTTTTTGCAGATAAGGCACCCATTTCGACTTACGGCACCGAGGCATTCCCGAAACTAACTACGCAACAGCTTCGGATGTTTAGAAATCCATCAAATTATAATTTTGTTCGTAACGATATTCTATCGCGGAAGAAAATCTCTACAATACGCAATGAAGAAATGTTATGGGCAGTTACAAAACCGCTCAGCGTGTAACCATTCCACTAAACTGAAAATTAGAAATTCGAAAGCGAATGCATATTAAGTTATTGAGAATCTAGATATTTACCAAACTTGGTGTACAATTGTTATCTTTTAAGACATTCTAGAACAATTCTCTTGTGTTATGATGAGGTATGATACGAGCATAATGTTCCATCGACCCATGGAACTAACTTTAAATAGGGGTGGAACGAAAAGAGTTAGGAACTCTGATGTATACGATCAACATTGCCGGTGCCTGCAGGACTAATTAAATGAAACAAAATGTTTATAAGTAGTAACAATTATCATTGAAGATGGCATCTGTTTTAAGCTTCATGAAAAACGAAAAAATGATGGGTCGCGCTTAGAACGTTTCATTTTATGCAACAATAATACATTTATTAATATCGCACATGAGACATTTAACTGAATGTTCCATGGAAACTATTTGGATCACTCGCTGCCCGCTTCTCTGCTTCATAGTTGCAGGAGAACTGGCCCGTCTCTTCTGCAATGTTCTTCCTCTGCCAGATCTTTTAGCGAGGTGTTCTGGGGGGAGGAAAATATGCAATTTCAGCATCTCAGAGGTGTATGTTACAATTGCGTCCCCTCCTTGGCCTTCATCACCTAGTAACTCTTAATGTTTTGTAGAATTCCACGACACAGCGCCTGGAGTTGACATCGGTTGTTATAAAAAGCGCACGTTCTCTTCAGTCCTTATTTCAGAAGATGCGAGAGGAGTGGGGGTTTCAGTATTTGGTCGACAGGACTATTATATCAAATCTGTAGCTCGTTTTCAATGCTAAATTCACAGCAATTATACGGAAGCATTTCTTGATATCAGATCATGTCAACAACGCTCCTTGCTACAATGAATTCTGAATTCAACTGATGTTAGGAAAGTAGAGGGGGTAGGTCTGCCGGGGCTCAAGAAAACTTGGCGCGTTTAATAGTCGCATGCAGCTGGTGCCTCAACAAACTGGGGGGTTCCAGCTCGGTTGGAAATGTAATTTCCAAAATTCAGAATACTAATGAATAATAAAACGTAAGTAATGCATACAAATTAATCAAAACTAAATTTAATAAGTATTTTTAAATATTACGTAATTATAGGCGTAGCGTCAGGTATGTTCAGCTCCCGCGCACATTGTTCTTTGATTTCCAGTGGGCATT